TGTGAAATGTTTAAACTTTTATCTATTAAATGACAAAAAAATGAGCTCAAAATGCTTTCTTCAGTCTCAAAATACATCAGTTTTTGATATCTGCATGAAACTTTCTTCTCTCTAATACATTTATTTCACTTTCACCATAATTTTCCACTTTTTCTTGAATGCAATAAAAATATAAAAATAACTCCATAAAGCTAAACCTACCAAGGCATTCAGATGTGGCTGCAGAATTGATTAAATTATGCAAGTAAAGGTCCTTATAAAGCTAAATGTGACAAAAACTCATTTTAATATTTTAAATAAATTTTTTGCTTGGACATTTCTCAAAAATCAAATTTTAAACATTATCTAATTTTTTATTAGAATAAAGTAGCAAATGTGCAGCCTTGAAGATATTGAAAATACACATTGGATCACCTGTTGCTAATTTTTATGTACGAGTAAATAATGCAACTTGAAATAACAATTAAATGAAAAATGTATATATTTACAAAAGGAATTTTGAATGATTTTAGTTTTAATTACAAAGGAAAAAAAATAAATCTTTACTTTGAAAATGAAAAGGTATTTCTATTAATTACTCTTAATTAGAATAATGGCATATTTTTGCCTCCATAGATTGCATGTATAATGAATTGCAACCAGACTCATTTGGTTGCACCTTTATCTATGTCAATGAAGCAAAATGGTTTAAAAAAAAAAAGATGATGCTTTTAAGACTAAAATACAGTGAAGCTTTGTTTAAAAGAGTTGTTAAATAATATCACTCTGGGACATTTAACATCTTTTAAAGCAAATTCCTGATTTGTGGGCAAAGTTTCCTCTTTTGGTCTTCAGTTGAAATAATGTTTTTTGAGTGTAGTTTTGTTTTTTCAGACAAACAGGATTTTTTTTTTTTCAGGTTCATCATTTTTAATATAGTCCAACACAAAAAACCAACACAATGTAAACAGGAAGTAGGACTAAAGCGTTGCCTGCAGCTTCCTGTTTCCTTCAGATTTTATCGCCTCCAACACCATCTTTACCGACACAAACACTTTCAGATTCCACTTTTTTTGTTAAATATCACATTTTTCATAATTTACAGTGTTTATTATACATGTATTGTGCTGTTATTCCTGTAAACCCCGTTTCCCTGACTGGACATTAACTCTAGTTAATGCACACAGCAATTAGCTTCTTCACATCATCAACAATTTTCACAGCCAACTGTGCCATCATCATTCACTGCGCCTTTCCCCCCGATCCAATTAGAGTTTCAAATGACCGGAATCCTAATTAGCTGCTTTCATTCAGCGGTTTTAATTATCATCATCTTCATCACACACTCAAACATCACTGGACACAGTATTTATAGGAGGAGGCAGGCCTGTTAAGTCATATATGGCTCCATAATGAACATCAAAGCTGGATCAAACAGCAGAGGAACGATTCCAAAAAGTTTCAGCGGCGCAGATGTGCTCATCATTGATCCTTTAAAGGTCACATCGTCCACCATATGTCCACCAATACGTTCCTCTGAGGAGCTGTTTGGGGTCTTTATACAAAAGACATCCATCCAAATGTTTTTATCCAGCACAGTTTTTTTTTTTTTTTTCCAAAGCAAAATAAACAAAATCCATGTAAGGCTCATCCCTTTTTTCCATATCATGCCCTCAGGTCCAGCGTGGTGAAGACTCATAAACAGCCAGGTATGTCCGGCGGTTTAGTTGTGGGCCCAAATATTTAAATCCACCAACTTTTAGACCTGAAGCTGTCAAATCATGCGATTCGGGGTTTCTTTGCCACCAACAAAAATGCTAACTGTTCACAAAAGAAAAAAAAATCTTGAATCTGTTGCTCTTTAAACCAACATGAGGACAAATCCTAAGCTTTGTAAGGTCCATAAAGGCGTGGTCTCACTGTAAAGTCCAAAAAGTTGTCCATACAGGTGTCCAATCAATCTGTAAAGCGATCCATCATGTTAACATAAGAAAAGCCACATCATCTGCATATAAAATGACATTTACATAAAAGTTGCAGCCAAGCCACCTTCATTTTTATTCTTCATCCGGCTTTATTTTTATGCAAAAAAGTTTTAGAATTCAAATCTTGGGTATTACTGTATCTCCAGGTTCAGGGCTCTACTAGATGGTCCCTTCCTGACAGATTTAAGGTAAATATAATTTGTGGTCTTTGGTTCCCTCGAATTGTTCAAGCTGCAAATTTATGCAAAACCTTTAAAGCTGAATTAGATCAAACTTTTGAGCATCAAGTTTGTCTCTAAACTAATAAAACTTCTGGTGAATGTAAATTCTGTCTGACAAAGCTCTGGAGTAAGGTATGGTTGATTATAAAATACCCATCCCATTCTCCATTTTACTCAAAAACTACCTTATTCTATCCCTTCACTGTTGTTGAGGGCTTTTTAGAAGAATGAGATGCTTTGCAGGGTAATACAATCTCAAAATTGGCGCAGGAACTAGAAAGATGATAAAGTAATGTGATCTAAAACAAATGAGCATTAAGCCACTTTATAATATAGGATACTGATTTGCAAAAACAATATTAAAAGAAGCCTTAAACTGAATGAGTTTTCCACTCTCCTTTCAGTATCTGTTTCTGACTCAAATTCCTTCAGGATCAGATGTGTTTCAGATTTCATTTCAAGTAAACATGTTTTATTTCATAAATGAAAAATTTGTCTAGAAAAGCTAAACTTTCATGTATATTTAATAGATTTGTCGTAAAGTGCTGTCGGACAATTAAACTTCAAATATTTTTCAAACAAGTTCCTTTTTTCATTCTTTTTTTATCCTGCCATAAACTGTCTGACAGCATCGTGTCTTTTATGCTGGAGCCATTTTTGTTTTGTGTTTTTCTTTGAAATCTTCAAACATTGAGCAGCTCATTAAAACAAAAGACCAACCAGAACATCGTCACTCATCAGAGAACAATTATTCTTCCCCATGTGGGGCTCTCTGTGGTTTCAAAGCTAAATGTTCAAACTGCTGTCAGTTTGGTTTTTTTTTTTTGGTTTCTCATTTGAGGACATTTCTGAAGCAACAGAAGCTAAAAACTGCAGAAGTTTTTTGCTCTTTAAATTCAAGCTGCGCCAGTCTGAATGCTGGGAAAGGGTAATGAGTCTGAATGAGTTCTCTGAGCAAAGGAAACCTGGTTCAAACAGTGTTAATTACAGCAGTGATTGACGAGTCCGGGGAAGCCTGCCTCCAACTGAAAGCTTCTTAAACAAAGCAAACAAACATAAGTCTGACTTATACAGCTCCAGTGTTCCAGTCAGTGAAAAAAAAACTTTAATACTAAAAGAAGAAAAAAATGTTTTTTCAAGTTGAATGCTTAAAAGTTGATTAAATGTTCAACTTTTCAGAAAATGGTAAGTTGAGCTATAAACTTCATAATTAAAAAGGCTCCGTCTTTTTAAAAAGTAGAATATGCAGCGTTTTGCTGCCACTTTGTGGTTTGGGGTAAAATAGAGTTTTAAATATCACCGCTTTGCATCGTCAAAGATTCCCCTTCTCTTTCTTTATTTTATTCTCATCTATGTGCCATTTTCAAATTAACAATCCCCAACTAATCTACCATTTTCTGGAGTCGAAAGCGGAACTGAAACTTCTTCAAATAACCAAATAAATTCAGGCAGAATTGGTTTTCACAGCAAATACAATGGAGGAAAGATTCGTGTATCATGTAGTTTGGTCATAAGATGATCAGAGGTTTAAAACAAACCAAGTTTAAAATAAAAAAAAAAAACAGAAAACCTCAAATTACACACAATGAAAATGTGTATAGTGAACAGTGAATTTGGAGTTCTACACATCTATACTGTTGTTTATTCATGTTTAGTCTCTTCCAGCGCATTACTCCTCCTTCCCACAGCTTCACTCCAATTACATGCAGAAGACCAATTATACACACCAGGGGACGTGTCAGTTAATCAGGAGAGCCAATAGCTAATTTTCTAACTCAAGGGTTTATGAGGGTGGGTACTGTTTTCCATCAGAATAACGTAAAAATCGGCTTTAAAGTCATGATATAAATACAGGGCATATTATTTCTTAGCAGAGTGTATTTATGGGGTGTCCAATACAAATAAATCTACAACAGGCATATGTTCTGGTTGGATATAAAAATGTCTTCAGGTGTCTGATCTGAAAGTTACAAACCACTAAATGAGTGATTAAAATATTTATATAAGTATTTGATTTGTTTTTAAAAAAACTGGTGCATCCCTATTACTGTATAATGCCACTAATCAAAATTTTGCCTCCTACTTATTTACTTTGATTGTTATTATTATTCCATTATTAGTTTGAGTTTAAAAGTGACCTGGAAGGAAGAAAAAAAAACTAAAAGAACTGCTTAAAACCTTAAGCCCAAATGGAACAAGTGGTGTACACTGATGGTAAGATTTGAAATTTGAAAACAGGGCGATAAGATGCAAAGTTTTGTCTGTTTTTAAAAGTAAAAACTAAGAGAAAGTAAATTGGATCACTGCAGAACTAATTCATTAAAAATGGATATAATATATAGCTCATTAAATGTCAAGTGTTTATAACGGTTTACTTCCTTTTTGTTTAAAAATGTTAAAAAAAAATATGGGAATAGCTTTAAAGTTTGAATCAATAATGCCTGAAAGATGGCTTACCTTAAAAAAGACCAAGTGTTCAAAAAAAAATTCTTAAATTCTGAAGTTCTTTTTTTCCCCCGCTGGTTTTAGAAGAAGTTAATATTTATTTTGGTGACAGATTTAAAAGTTTGAGGCTAGCTCAACCATGACAGGATCAACCTTTTTCAAATTTTCACAGCACAGTTTGACCATAATGGCTTCATGTTGAGAAATAAAGATTCCAGCATCAGTGAACACATCAACTTCTTTTAAAATAAAACCAGTACAGAAACCAGCCAATCAACCAATAAGGCCCATTTCAATGTTGTGACTGCAATCGTTAGCCATTATCTCAGTTCACTAGCTCAGCAGTCAGAGTACAGCTAGCTTAGCGGCACAGAGCTAGCCGTAAGTGTAGCTGGGAGGTTTGCGTAGCCATTGGTAGAAGTGCCGCCGGTGGAGGCGATGCCAACGGACGTTTCCTTCAACGATCTCCAATGCTCGCGGCAGCGCAGGCACCGCCCCTACGCCACTCGACTGGATAAACTCCTTTAACTGGAAGAGATAATGGTGGGACAAGGGCGGAACGAAACAGTTAATGCCAGGAAAAAGGATTTATTGGTATATGGAAACCAAATAAAATAAAAAAAATAAAAAATAGCCTTAAATGACTCGAGTCATAATTTTCAATTTAAAACAAAACCATCTTTACTTAATTCATTCCATAAAAAACTAAAAATATATAGTACTGGGCTTGAAAACAGCTCAGTCTAGGCAACTAGATGTGAAGTTTTTTTAGAAGACGTTTCGCCTCTCATCCAAGAGGCTTCTTCAGTTCTAACATTTGGTGGGGAGCACTGAGTTTATTATACTGTAGGTGTAACAAAAAATTAGGGGGAACAAAAGGGGGCTCTGATACTTCCAACTAGATTGGCCATGGAGGACACATGGGGGGTGTTAAAGGTGGTTAGGGGTCCAATGGGTCAGTAACTTCCTCATCACAGGGGTTTTGGTCACATCCCTCATTAAAGTGTGGGTCAAATGAGGGCGAGTGGTAGGTGAATCTTCAGGGTATTGTCCTTAATAGTGTTTTGTAAGAAGGTGAAAAATTAAATCTAAGACCACCTTGTCTGTTCAGAGATTGATTTTCTAAGTTAACAAAGATAGCTTCCTTAACCCTTCACTCAAACCATCTTTCTTCCTTGGCCAGAATATGGATGTTGTTGTCCTCAAATAAGTGTCCTTTATCCTTCAGGTGTAGGTGAACAGCTGAGTCCTGTCCTGAGGAGTTGGCCCTCCTGTGTTGAGCCATCCGCCTCTCTAATGTAAAGGTCTGTGGACTCTTCACTACACTGAAAGGCGTAAACTCGGCCTTGTTTCTGGGTTTCTTGTCTTTGGGGTGAACCAATTTTTGAACAAGGGTAATGCCAGGTTTGAAGTGCACAGGGATCTGGTGCTAGCTGGAAATCCTCCACAACTCCACAAACATATGGATCCTTCATCTGTGCTCTTCCCTCTTAGTGGACCTCTTCTTGTTGTTTTTTAGGAAAGCTCATCTGGGATAACCAGAGTTCTTCGGGGATGTCATATTGTGTCCCTGTTCTCTCAATCTCCCTGTCCCACTGCCTAGACTGAACTTTTTCAAGATTAACCATGACCTGGATGACTAAGAATCTTCACAGATATTTATATTTCTGCAAACAACAGTTAAGTGCCAATAGTATTTTTATTCCACAAAAGTGCTAGATTCAAATACAAACAAACAGTTAAACCCATTTTTTACACTTTCTACCAGCAATTGTCTATACATATATAAAGCAAAACATAGACTGATGGAAGTCGACAAAGAAGGGTGTTTCTTCTGAAGCTCCAGCACTGATTCCGTTTTAATTTAATTAGGCTACATTCAATTATACCTGAAATAATTCAATGAAAGTCTGTAATTATTGTAATCTTGATTTAAAAGTAATTCAAAATTTAACAGAGGTTAAATACACTCGACTTCATAACGTGATCCATTATAATTCAGACTTGTTTTGCTCAATAAAGTTAAGATGACAACAACTCAGCAGAACTAAATGAAACAAACTAAGCAGATTTATTGCTGGGTTTTAAAAACATGCAATCTAATTAAACCCAAGGTATTTATTTATCTAGACCTTTACTGAAACATGATCTGATGTTTTCTGACTGCTTGTTCAAAATGTTGCGTCTAAAGCAAACCATTCATTCCTGGCATGTGTAATTTCCAGACGCTGTTTAAGGCAGCGTTTATGATCTAAATGACTGATGGTGGGCAAACCCTGTCTTTGTCTCTTTGCATTCTGACCCTTTACAGAAATGGAGAAGACACCAGAGACATTTATTGGATGAAACCTTTAATGAGACGTAATGACATGGGTCTCTGGCAGCTGAAGATCAAGCAGTTTTTTAGTTGTTATTCTTCGTAAAAACGGCTCTGACAACAGCTCTGACCATTTAAGCGGAAATGAGCTCCAAACTGTTTGACAGTAATTTAAGGACAAGCATCTGAGAAAAGGAACTTTTTTAAGCGAAAACGAAAAAAATCAACATGTTTTAGGCGACAGTCCAAAGGGAAAAGATGGTTTTGTACACAGAATGACAGATTCATTGGAGCATGTGGAAATCCTTCCCTTCAAGTCTCTTTACTTTGAATCATTTGCTAACTCTCCACTCTCTTCCCCTCCACATTTTCCGTTTCTGTTTACTTTTCCTTCCCTCTCTTCCTTGTTGCTCCCCAGAGTGATTCACTGGAGACATTTGTTCAGATCTGAAATAAAACCCCCATGTCAATCTTTTCCTTTGTTGAGGTTTTGTATTCAGGCTTCCCAAGGGAAATAATGTTTTGTTTGGAGGTTTCACTGACAGTCAAGGCTATATAGAGATTGTAATTTGTTGCCATAACAACCTGGGGAGTAAAAAAAAAAGGCGAAGGGATAGATTTTCATTCAGGAAAACTGTTAACCTCACAGGTTTTGTTATTTCTGCTTCACATATTCAGAGTGGCATCTTTTCCTTTTTTTTTCTGAATAAAGAGGTGTATCAGCTGTGAAGTGACTCTATAGAGATAATTAAAAACTATTAATCTAGGTTTACTTATTCATATTAATCAACCCTGAATGTAAAATATTGATGTTGCGAGTCTCAGGAGAACATGTTAATACCCTGTGATTAATTGGTGGTTCAGCTCTCCTAATAGCTGCAGATAGCATGCCTTTATAAAGTTCTGCTACTTCATAGCTCCACTGAACTAGAGCAGGCTTTACATTTGCTATTTTGATAAGAAAAGGTACATTCGTTCTGGTTAAAATCTCATAGCATCATAATTGCTTGTGGAAATTCTCCGTCATCTAGGTCATGCAACCAGAAAATAGCCTTAAATCTGTCCGGTTCCCTCCGATTTAAGCTGGTTATCAAACCATCATATTGGTCCTGCTAAACAGCAGGGCAGGGGGAAAATGATATAATAAGAAGAAATACAGATAATTGCATTGAAAAAAATCCATCCATCCATCTATCCATCCATCCAAAATCTAAGTAAAAATAATGTTGAACTGGATCAAAACAGGCAGGATGGATGGATGGATGGATGGATGGATGGATGGATGGATGGATGGATGGATGGATGGATGGATGGATTTTCCATATTAAAAGATGTTACTTGGATAACGGCATGGCCAATAAAACTCTATAATCTGTTTCAATATTTTTCCATTTGTTTCCAATTCAATGGATGTATGCACATATAGATGGATAGATGAAATTTGTCCAGACTCTGTCACATTGCCTAACACTTGTCCCAACCACTGACCTCTGACAGTAGAACATCAAAGCTGTATTGGGGATGTTTTTTCTCATTGTTGCTGTTTAAATGAAAGTTTTTCTTAAAGGAACAAAATAAAAAAATATATTTTTATTTTCCATTAGGGAACTTCATTTTATTTTAAAGTTGGTTAATTAGTTTCATTGTCAAGAAAAAAAAAAATCAATGCAAGACCCCAGAGCCAAACATGTCTTTCTGTATTTACCTCATTGAGTTCTCTTTCTGTGTTGAGGAACTCTGTGACTCCCCCGATGAGCTTTGAATTCATGAACAAAGCTTCACCATATCTGGAAAAAGAACAGAGACAGTCATATTTATAGGGGTATGAAGCTACATGACCAATATCACTGACTTCGGAGAAAGTTCTCCTGTCTCACCGGGCATTCAGGATGTCCCACTTTTCTCTGAAGTATTTCCAGGCCAGATTTCGACCTTGAGGGTTTCGACCAACGTGGATGATGACATCGATCACATCCTGCTCTGGGACAAGTTCTGAGGTCAGAGACAGATTCAGCAACCTAGATAGGACAAAGACGTGGACATAAAAGCAAAATGGATTTATTGCTAAAGGTAAACTTCCACTGTAAGATCTTCTGATGTTCACATCCAAAGCAACATCTAGGAAATAATCTCTCCAGCAGGTGCTGTCCAATGGAGAAAGGCTTAAAAATGTTGAACAAAGATTTGAAAAAGGCATCCATCCAATTGAACTCAACTTACTGCTCAATAGGTTGCTCTGTCGGCTAAAGGGATGTTTTATAGTCTCTATACTCCAGTTAACGATTAAACCATTACTGAATTATGAAAAAAATAAAAACAATCCACTGGACTTGGTTTCCAAGTTGGAAGACGTTTAGCTTGCCACCCTGGAAGCTTTTTCAATTGAAAAAGGTCAAGAATAGCGTTGAGTTCAAGGTTTTATACAGTAGCCCAACAAAAGCTTGTTTTTGTTTTGAAAACATGCAAATTGGATTAGACGAAGGGGTCCAGCCATTTGGAATAGGGGTAATTTGGCTTCTTTTGTTAGACTGCAATACTCCATACTCATCTAAGTATCTGAAAGGGGGGTTTTAGAAGGGAATTGTTGGCCTTGCTGAATAGACCAGGTCCTCCACTGTCCTGTACAGGGGGTGGGGCTGCGATGATAACAGGAAGGGATTAACTCAATTGCTGCATTGTAAGTTTTTGGAAGCTGGAACCTGAGTCCACCCCCTCTGTTTAGGGTTGTTTTTTCTTTCTTAACATAGATGAGTTCCTTCACATCCCTCTCAAACCAATTATTTTCTTTCTCCAAAATGTGAACATTCCTCAAAAGAATGTCCTTTGTCCATAAGGTGTAGATGTACAGCAGAGTCTTGTCCAGAGGAGGGCGCTCCTCTGTGTTGGGCCATGCGTTTGTGGAGAGGTTATTGGCCCAACACAGAAGAGCGCCCTCCTCTGGACAAGGATGGATCACGGTCACTTTTGTCTGACCAGGACCTGAAATTATTCTGCCTCAGGGGAGTATTGCCCGTAAAACAGAGATAAGGTGAGGAGGCCCTGTGGAGCTCAGAAAGGAGGAGCAGGAGATCAGAGCAAGACTGCACAAACGTGCACCAGAGCCATCACTGGGACCAGCTCTGAAGCTAAGGGAAGAAAACAAATGATGAATGACTCAACAGTCCCTTTAAAGCCTAACTAGAAACCACCTAAAAACGCAAAACAGACCATTTGCAACACTTTGGTCTGAGTTTCAGAACTTACAGAGCCAGACTGGAGGTGAAAACCTCTTATGGAAGCTTTTCCCTGTGTGTGGTGCACATGGGACAAAGGAAAGCCCTCTTTCTGTGAGCCTGCCATGCTAAGCTGCTAACTGTTGGAGGAAACTCTAACCTTTCAAGAATGACTTGGGCAAGTATATAAGGTCTAACGTAATTAGGGACAGATTCTAAATGAACAATATGTATTTTGATGAATTTATGTGCTTACTGATTTCGAGCTGTTTTCTTTAGCCAAAACAAGCTTTATTTCCCTAAGGGTTTAAACACAAATGTAATGTTAATGTTCATGTGATTTCTCATATGCTAATTACTTTTCCATTACCAAATTATGACCAAAATTTATTTAATGGAATCCTCATTTCTCTTCGCTGCTAGCTATTGCAAGGAGGGTAAAGAACCATTTAACTAAAGGTTACTGGTTCCCGATTAAGCAAATAAATTAGTAAAACATTAGTTAGCTAAATAATGTTTTATTCACTGCATGAACATTCCAATCGCTCTAAATTAGTGAAAAGCTAAGGTGATCACATCCCAAATTCTTCAAGATAAACTTTTGTTCTTAACTATAAAATCCATGCTAAAATGTAATATGGTCTTTAACCATGTTTCCCCTTCATCTTTCCTCACAGTAGTTTAGTTTAGGTGAGTTTCACTAGTTTTTAGTCAAGAGTTTTTAACTGAAATGTTTTTGATTTGGAGCTAAATGATTTTTATTAATAAACTCTTATATTGAATGGAGGTTGTGGCGAATTTATTCCATGTATGTGGAGAATTATCTGTTATACCATGATTTGAGCTCGATTCACACTTTCATTTGTTTTCCTTACACACAGCCAGTAGGGCATGTGTTCATAAAAAATATACGACAGTCTGAATAATATCTAATTAAATAAGATATTTACCATCCCTACCAGGGTGGGCAATGGATATATTCAAGTTGCACAACACTCTATGTAAGTTACATCACCAGCTGTGTTGTCTCTGCAGAAGGATAACAGGTATATGGATCACACCAGTTGCTGGGAATGCAATCACGTGAACACACCTTAGATGTGGAGTGTGATTTGTAAGTGTTATACCCAAAGGACAAACTGCCTAGATTTTGACACCAGCTGACAACAGCAGCATTTGTAACCCTGTTCTTCATGTTTTTGAAAATTAAACTTCTCCTGCAGTGTTAGTGCCAACATGTGTTACCTTGAAACTTAAAGATATCTTTACTAATTGTAGGTATATGAGGTAAATGGTTGAAAATACCATAAATATGATCAGAGCGACAAATAAACTTAAGGAGAGTTGGTTTAAAACCTATTGTTTCAATGCTTCTAGCTTTAAAAGTTAAAACAGTCACCTCCTATCTGCTAAACACTGTCCAATATCTGTTTAAATAGCATCAAAGTGACTCTATAGAAGTTGTATAGTGCGGCTGCGATGGCAGGATCAACATTTATAGATAGATTGCTTAAAATAACCTTTTATCTAAGTCTCGGCTCCAGAGCAAGACCACAGGAGAGAAGCTAATGCTCATGTGATGACCTCACAATCCTGCTTCAGTTGAGAAAAGTTCCAGGAAGAAAATGTTCTTGGTCTCTTTGCTGAAAAGCATCTTTTGAATGTTGAGATTTTCTACAGAATACCTCAGAAACATCCATCTGCACTGAGACATGACCTCCTCTTGCTTTTATTTTCCAAAGCGAAGGAAACGCAGTAAATAAAGTCTTTGGTGACTTTTGAGGGGAGAGTCTTTAACCTTCAGGCACACAAACACTGCTGCAGATCCATACAGCGAAGGCAGAAAAAAAGGTCAAGTTGTTTGATGGAAATTGATATTTTGTCTGGAGTCCCTCCAGTCTGTGTTCCTGTCAACCCCAAAAAAATCACTTCCTGCGAGGACATGCAGGAGCGACAGTAATCGGATTACTTCTGGCTGCCACTGACTGACAGAAGTATTTCACAAACACAATGAATAACATGTTTTTTTTTAAGATGCTGGAATGAAAAAGTTCAGAGTTTTCTTTCAGTCTCTTTTTTTTTTTTCTCATTTCTGTGTTTTCCTGTTGGTCCGGTTTCTGCTGCCGTTTCATTAAACCCTGAAATCAATTTTCTCTCTTTTCCCACAATCCCTCGCTGCTGAAACCATTTCATCTGTGACCAATCAGTGAGCTTCATGGCCTTGGCACTTGACTTGTGTGTGTGTGTATGTGTTTCTGTGTGCAGCTGATTGGATAAGGTTTACCTACACATGCACACACACTCATACAACCTACCTAACTGCAAAACTCTGAGTGCATAACATACATTTTCCACATAATAGCTGCTACTAAACAAAAGCAACTACAGCTTGATTTCTTTGCTTTGAGCTGGTACCATATATTAACTCCAACTTTATTTCAGTTTGCTCCATCTTTCCTCAGAATGTCCCAGCGACCAATCCAGAATCTCAACCTTGTTGCAGTTTTTCTGCAGAGCAGCTGCACGATGCACAAACACCTCATTTAACTGCTGTCCTTCACGTCAAAGCATCCTTGACAGGGCGCACTCATGAATACCTCTTATCCGACCCAGATGGCGTCCTGAAATCTTCAAACATCGTGTTTTTGTATGACCCTGAAGTGTTGTGCTCAAACATTCTTCTATCAGTCTCTGCCAGATCTTTTATTTTGCTGATATTTTTGCTTATGTTTTTCGTTGCTTTTTTAAATGTTTTGGATCAAAGACATTTCTGTTTAAAACAAAAATAATAAAACCATTTTAAAATGATGACCTTACTCAAGGAGGGGGGAAAAAGTTAAAACAAATTAATTGAATACTCACAATTTTTGGTAGAATATGATAAGCTCCTTGCTGCCCTGATAACCGTCACTTTAAAGACGGCTGTTCCAATCGTTGCATTTCCGAATTCTCCTAAGTGGTGCCCAACTTTACACGAGTGAATAAAGTGAATATGATTGGTCGTTTATCAAGAGGGCGGGATTGTTGTGGCGCACGGTTCGCAATCTGGTTTGGCTGTGGCCGGTTTGTCGGAAGCATCTTGCTAACCAGTTAGCAGCTTAGTGCTAGTAGGTTCCCAATGGGAAATTCCATTGGGACCAAGTAGCACTAATTGGTGACTTAGAAACGACACTGTCAAGGAACGCTATGGACAGAGGAAACATGCAAGAGGAGGAGAGTTTAGTGTCGGAGGTCGTGGATGAGTCTCCTCCTTCATCCATTTTTTATTTAGAGGAGGAAAGCGGGACGAAGATGTTGTGGAAGAGGACGCCAGGGCGGCAGAAGCTTGGTTTGGTGTAGAAGGCTTCCAGCCGTACATGTTTGAGCCCTTGCCTCGCAACGCTGCCAGTTCTGTTAGCTCTACGCCTGCTGAAGACACAGACGTCCATCCCCGTGAACACTGGGACGCAACTCAATGGGAAAGGAAATGATTCTGATTTCTTATTTCAGCCGTTGTGTTAGTTAGCTGCGACATATGAATCAAGATGCTATGACTGAAAAAAATTGATTGACAGATGATTGGCTTAATTTAGGTGTACAAGCTGACATATAACTAACTGGCCTGTATAAGATAACGAAAAATACCCACAGATTTTAGGACAGAATTTTTTTAAAAATAGAAATTTTCCAACTTTTGGGAAAATATTGTCTGATAAAGAGTACATTTATATGTAAGTTCAAGCCAGAATGATTTGACATTTAAATTTGACCTCCCCTGTGACTTTAAATACACTAAAAGGCCTCAAAAGAATCACAAAATGCTTATATTTAAAGAAATCATTTTGGAAATGATTATAAAAGCTTTTCTAAACCTTATAAAGGAGGAACATTCTCAGGTTCTGCAGGCTTTATTTGTTTCAGTTAAGGTCAGAGCTCATGATTCAACAAAAGAAAAGACACTTATAAAATGGCCTACATGAAATAGATCCAAAACTTTATAGAGGACCTAGACCAGGGGTTGGCAACATACAGCTCCAGAGCTGCTGGCATCTCTTTAATGCCTCCTTTGTGGATCCCTGGATCTTTTTCAACAATTTACGAAATTGGAAAAAAAAGGAGTTTTGCATGCTCTCGCATGCTCTCTAATAGGCGTACCCTCTTGAAAGCGGGTACAAGGTTGTGTATGTGCATTTTTTTTTAAAGTGGAAAGGGCGGGTCTTCTCAAAAATTCACGAAAATCCTCCACTATACATTGAAGCCTCCAGTCAAACAGAGACACAAACAGGGTTCCAAAGAAACAGACGTGGTACCACAGTCAGAAGGGCCCGCCATGAAAACAGAAAACGGAAGCTTCAGTGTAAACTCAAGCTTCTGTATGCATGCTGGCCATCGTCCAAATGTGGGCCACTTTGCAAATAGAAGTTTTCCTCCTTAAGGCTGATTTATACTTCGAAACCACGTCGTCTGCGTAGGTGTCGCAGCGAACGCAAAGACGTCCTCGCCCACTCCGCAGACACTTTGGTGCACCTCTCCAAATTTGTAGGTTACCGCTGACAGGAGGCCTCTGATTGGTCAAATCTACATCCGCTCTACTCTATGCGCATTTCCTGTTTGGTACCTTACCAGCTTGTTTTGTTTGTATGATTACCATTGTGGAAAACGACTCGTGAAGATGGACCAGCTAGAAGAGCGAGATACATGAGAACGCTGGGACCCTTTTTCCACCTGGATCCCCGCTTTTTTTCACCCTTATTTCCCTTTGTTGTCACCCAAACTTACCCCACCTCCTCGCCGCCTTGGCCGTATCTAGACCCACAGCTAGTTTGTGACAGAGGTGTCAAGTAACAAAGTACAAATAGTTGGTTACTGTACTTAAATACAGTATCAGAAGCAAGCAGGTGTTCTTCAAACTGCAAACTTGAATTGTCTATTCCATGCTACAATGCCTGATTCAGAAAAAGATGTTGAAATGTCTGAAAGGTCGGACACAGGCGAGAGCGTATCAGGAGATGGAGATGGAGACCAACAAGACCTCCCTCATCCTTGGCCCTATCTCAAAGAATTTTTAGAAATAGTCGAAAAATTGAGCTTTCATTTCATATAGTGGCATCTGGCTGTTTTTTTTTTTAAGTTTACTTTATACTTTTATACTTTAAGTAGTTTTTGGAGCACATACTTTTTCACTTTTACTTGAGCAAAGAGGTCAAGTTGATACTTTTACCAGGGGGGTTTTAAACTGCAGTACAGTTTACTGTGGAAAAATGATCTAGAAATAAGTAAAAATTTCTTTAATTAAGCGTATTTACCCTTGATTCGAACAGGTAAATGAGATAGTTTGCCAATGGAATGAGTATTTTTACCCTTAAAATAAGATAATTTGATGCACTTGAAATAAGAGAATACAATTGTGTTTTCTTATTTTAAATTTAGACTGTCTTGTTCCATTGGCAAAATGTCTCTTTTATCTCCTCAAGAACAAATTGACTTATTTTAAGAAAAAAAGGACTTATTTAGATTTAGATTTTTTTCAAGTGTACTTATACTTAAATAAAAAATGTGTGTACTTTTGACACCACTGGTTTGTGATTGTTAATCTTGCGTTGTGGCGTGGAATAACAGACCACGCTTTAATATTGAGCATAAATCAAAAATGTCTGTGTCACAACTGCGACACACTCCTGTGGGAGTATAACCAGCCCTTTACAGTGGCCAGTAGACAAACACAGACCTAAAAAGAAAAAAAAATTCCCCTCCTTGAACCGCCAGCTTATCGTGGAGGAGAGGTTTCAGTGCTCGGATTATCCCAGAGGATATGCTGTCGGGGGCTGGTAGGGTCTCCAAGGCAGACAGGCTCTGGGTGAAGGGCCAGACAAAGAGCAGTTCAAAAGTCTTCATGATGACTCAGATGAGGAGAGGGCTGGCACCGTCCACTGATCATCGGTTGGCTAAAGTCTTACAGCCTCTGGAGGCCCAATGAGGGTCCACTGGGAATGTCTACCTGAGCTCGTTATCAGGGACGCTTTAAACTCCCACCTCTGGTAGAACTTTTGTTAGATTCTGGGGAAAGCAGGTGACATGGAGTCTGAATGGACTATATGCAGTCTGCCTCTTTGTTGATGCAGTCACCTGTAACTGTGGCCATAAGATCTGCGGTGCCTGTCTTAGCAAAAAACCAGGACACGGTGGTGGATACCAATAATAAGGGATGCCAACAAGCTGAGGAAGTAGTCCTAATTAGCCTACTGGGTTTTTTTGGGCTCCTGTACTGCTAAAAATTCAAATCTAAATAAGTAATTTTTTCTTAAAATAATTGCATTTTGTCTTGAATGGAGGAGGTACGTGAGACATTTTGCCAATGGAACAAGACAATTTACTTTTAAAATAAGAGAAACTAACTGCATTGTCTTATTACAAACTCATATTATATAATTATTTTAAGAGTAAAAGTACATTAATTCAATTGACATCTATTTGCCTGCTAAAATTTAGGGTAAATGCACTTGATTGAAGAAATTTCTAGTTATTTTTAGATCATTTTGCAGCGTGAGGCAGCAAGCAGGTTAAGTGTGTCAGATGCAGAGGCGTAAACTGAGAGGAGTTTGAAGAGACCATGGAGAAAGACTACTGGTTGACGTCAAAGTGATTCTGGAAATGCCTCCAGAGGGGGAGCAGTGCTTCGCCAATACTGTATTACTGTACGTGCTGACCTTGATTGAGGACATTGTGGGGCGACAGTGGCATCAAGTGTAGGAGTTTGCCCTTAAATCAAATGTTTGTCGGTTCGAGCCCCAGCTCTGGCTTTTAGTGTTGTTGTGTCCTTGGGCAAGACACTGCACTTGCATTGTCTACTGATGGTGGTCAGAGGGCCCGGTGGCGCCAGTGTACGGCAGCCTCGCTTCTGTCAGTGATCCCCAGGGCAGCTGTGGCTACAATGTAGTTTGCCACCATCAGTGTGTGCGTGAATAGGTGAATGACTGAATGTAGTGTAAAGTGCTTTGGTCAGGTCTCCTGACTTGAAAAAGCGATATATAAGTACAGGCCATTTACATTGTCAGACAGTGGAATGAACAATTTGAAGATCTCCTCAACCCAGCAGTCACACTTTCCCTATGGAAGCGAAGGCAGATTCCATAGTGGGAGGGGCTTCAGTGGTGGATGGGATCCAATCTGAGATCTTCACGTCTTTGAATGTCGTCAGGCTTTTGTAGTTAAGACACCTCCTCAACAATAAGTGGCTGTCAGGCACAGTGCCCCTCAGGGGTGAACAAAACACTAAAAAATGTACTGAAGTAGAAGTAGCACTACTTCAAAATATTTCTAGTCAAGTCAAAGTAAAAAGTAACCATCAAATAATAGCTACTTTTTCTTTATATTACCTTGACCTCCATGACTTGATAGATAAAAATAACATTAAAATAACAATAATTGTGTACTAAAGAGAATAGGTGTTTTAATGCACATTCTTTTCATGGTGGTTCGAACCCTCCTGATTCTGAAGTTAAGGTTTTCCCTGTAGTCACAGCTCCCCATTCTATCAGAAAACAGCTTTTGAATATTTCCTGTTTATTTGTAGCTTTATACATAAACTGAGCTGTTTGAAATTCCACCAGATCTGGGATTCTTACTGATTGTATGGGGTTGACAGGTGCAGCTGACGCCCTCAAACAGGTGCATCTAATTTAGGATAATCAATGGAGTGGAGGTGGACACTTTGAAGGCAGGCTGATAGACAGGTCTTCAAATAATTATTTGCAGCTGTGTCATAAAAATAAATAGTTAGAAAGTTATATGTTGTGATTTCTGGGATTTTTTATTAGTTTATGTCTCTCACAGTGGACATGCACCTACGATGACGATTTCAGACACCTCTGTGATTTCTAAGTGGGAGAACTTGGAAAATAGCAGGATGTTCAAATGCTTATTTTACTCACTGTATTTTAAATCAGTTGATATTTTAGATGCTCTGATCAGTAAGGCATTCTTATAATCTGTAGTTGTTTTTGGATTTAGAAATCGTGTCAAGTGATCAGAAGCAGAAATGTGGGGATTACGTCGATGAGGAAAAAAACTGAAGTTTCTTGAGTGAAAGTGCAAAAATATATAAATATTTTAAAGGTCAAATGAAAGAAAAGTGATTTATTTAACCAGGATGCTTCCTGATCTCCTTCACATGTTTTTTAATCAGCCCCTAAATGTTGACAAAAGACACGCCCACCACCAGTAAATAGGAGCTTTGTGGAATCATAATATAAACCGAACACGATCCCAGAATAAACAGCCATCTGTGAGCCAGTCCCCCTCGGATCGATTGTATTGATCAGGGTGGCTTTTTGTTCCAAGGTGAAACGGGGCGGAAAGAGCAGCAGTAGCTCACCTGTTAAGGAGGAAGGTGTTATCTGAGCAGGTCAGGGCCTCCAGCAGGATCTTCTTCTCAGAGACTGCAGTGGTCGAGTGAAACTTCATCCAGATAAACTCCCACACGTCCTCATCCATCAGGCTGACCCCGGTGCAGTAAACTATGTCTCGGATGTTGGGGGGGATCCTGCAAAAAAAAAAAAAAGACAAGTCATGAGGCTGAGAGAAGCTCAGCTCAGACATGGGAAACCTAAAGCATGTTGATAAGGGTTGGATTTGACAGAGCAGCAGTAGGAGGGTGAGAGCGGACCAGGAGCAGTAATGAAACTAAAAGCCCTGATAAGCCACCTCCTCAGGATTACCCACAACGCTTTCTGGATGCTAATTTCTCTCCCATAGGGAGACTGCATTAAAATACCTTGGCTGGCTTCTCTGCTGGATGTGTAAAAGCAGACACACTTTCTCAGGAACTGTGACTATAAGTCCAAATGCTGTGTGAAGCTCCACACTAATGTCAGATTGGAAGAAAAGGTTGATGATCTTAATGGTTTGGGTAAAGTATAAAAAGAGTGTTTTTAGTGTTTGAAGAAAGAGAAACGTGTTCATGTTGGAATCCAGATATATATGAAAGAGGACAATGCACTGCAAAAATAGAAATAGAAATGAGTGGATTTTTCTTAAAATAAGTGAATTCTATCTTGAATTGAGGAGGAAAGTGAGACACTTTACAGTTGACATTTAAAATTAGAAAATTAAAATCATCTTATTTAAAGTGCATTTTTTCTAATGATCTTATTTTAAGAATAAAAATATTAATTCCATTGGCAAATCCTTGTATTAACCTGCGCAAATTAAGAGTAAATACACATTTAAGAAACTTTTTCCGATGTTTGGTTGAGTGTTTTTGCAGTGCATTTTGCAGACAGAAAGTCAGAACCAAGACAGGAAAGCATTTCTCAGGAGATAAAATAACCTCCTAAAGCAGACAGTCTGTGACTAATTTGGCTTTTTATTAAAAAGAAATTAAGTATTGCTCAAAGTCTATAAAAAACAAAGAGTTAAAATAAAAGTTTGCCCATAGATTAGCATAAGTTGTTTATAAATTAACCCTTTAAGGGCTCGGACATCTTTGATTATGGTAGCCGAAACAAGACAAACTTATTAGCCTTTTTAATTCTATATAAAGACGTGCTGTCGGCAGAGAAGGAATGTTAAAAAGCAAAGACGACCATAGATTGTTCTAGTTGTTGTTTTCTATTAAAATGGAGGACCATCCATACCCTTTAGAAGTAAAAACGGAGAGAAAACCAGTCTATATTGGCAAAGCTTTTACCAGGTGGGGCTTCAAAATAGATGCAAGGTTTACAAGTTTCTGTTGGAGAGGTGACTTCATTCAATTTCACACTGGAACACATTTCCCTGGTATGTTACAAAAAAGGCAATGTGATCCAGAAACTATTCTGTCCTCCCTGCAGAAACAGCTACGTAGCTTGTTTATTAGCCTACTCTGGACGAGCTCTGTTGCAACAGTTATCAGCTACTTTTATTCTTCACAGACATCATACCAGAAGGCAATCATACACTTCTGTGTTTTCAGAGTGATTTTTTAAGTGATTTTTTAAAGTTTTATGGGAGGAATGATATCTTCTATCTATACACAGAGAAAATAAAAAAGTTAAACCAGATTCTCATTGGGATATAATCAGTAGAGCTGCAAGCGTTCTGTTGCGAAAAATATCAAATTTAATAAAAGCAAAATTATTCAACACCTCATCAACTGACAGGATAGTTGAAGTAACGACTACTTTCATGGTAGTTATTACACACTTAATGGCGAAGCATAAGAATGTTCTTCTCAGTCATTTGTAGGATTAAAATTACACTTTTTTCTTCCACTCAATTTCCCCCTAATATGCGTAATTAGTGCACGTTGTACAACTACTTCAGCTCTGCGCTATTCAGTACTATATAAGGAAACAGGACTGGACAGCTGAGGTCGGCAATCTCATAAATTCCTTGTTTTATATAATTTTCTTATCTTATTAGAACATTAGCCTGGGTGCCATTCCGAACTTAGTCCCGCCCACAAGGTTTGAGTTCGGGGAAGTTCGGTCTGGCATTGCTCCATAGTAGCGCGAGTATTATCGCCCACTCTCTGGCGATCCAATCAAATTGTCAGGGCGGGCTTTATACGATGATGGACAGATGATCAACAGTAACGTAATCAACCACATGACCAAAGCGCGCTTGGGTGACAACAATAATGGCTGCCGCTGGAGAGTTGAGGTGAGTAGATTCTGCTATTAGGTCTGTTCTAGAAGATAATGACAGCAAATACATTTTAAAAGAGGAACAGAGAAACGCGATCAAGGCTCATCTTCTTATTCTAGGCGTGCAACTGCATGCTTTGATTTTTGTTGTCAACAACTATGCATCGCTTAACATACGTCACGCACTCCGTTGCTCTTATTGGTTGTAGGTCTATCCAATTGAGTGCAGAGGCATTTTTTTTCCTGGTTTGTTCAAAACACGCCCCATAATCACAGCTCTATGGAGCAGTATCAGACTCATATTCTGACTAGAATTGAGTCGGACTACGTCAGGCTATTAGAACATTACTTATGTTTTCAAATTAGTTAAAGTCTGTAAAATTAGCAGCGTCTCAATCCAATTCCTATCTGACAAATCTAAACAAAGGGCACCAGAGGTGCAAAATCAGAATTTTGCCGTTTAAAGTAATACATGTCATTTTGCCATTTCACTTATTTAAATATGTTTAAAGTAACAAAAACCTATATAAAATATGTATGATTATGGATAAAATATTAGTAAAATGATTGGATCCATTGATTAACAATTCATTTTTATCTCACGTATCAAAGGTTTAATATGTTCTACAATATGTGGACTAACAACAGCACTATATGTCAATAGTTTATGTGCCAGCTGTATTAAATACCAACTTAACAAAAAAAAGTTTCTTACACATTATTAAACATATTTATAAGCTATAAAAAACAGGAACCTATTAGGTAACTGAATAATAAAAAAAAAATGAATGAAATATGAGAAACATTCATGTTTTCCGATGTACAGAGCAGAGGTGGGATATGTGGCACTGATCTCTACTTGTTCACTGGATAGCTCATTGGCCTTTGGTTGTACACATTGCTGTGATGTCAAGAGCCGCCATATTGGTACTCCCTAGTTAGACCAGTTATAATGTAAACAAAACATGTGTTACTGTAGAGCATCAATCAACCATAATGCTCTGATTTTCAGGGGGGCTTAAGGCTTTTAAAATAAAGAAAAATTATTCATTTTGACAAACAGTTCTTAGACTTAGACAACTTTTATTGTCATTTTGTACACAGAGTGTATACAAAACAAATATTCATATTTTTTTTACAGCTTTCAGACGGTAAAATGTTGTTCATAGCCTCAGTAGACCACTGTAACTTATAGTAAATAATAGGTACATCACATTGTATAGTCGGTATGAAGTCTAAAAATGTAATGTAATAAACCTTATCATCAAATTTGTGTGTTAATGGAGCATAATGATACTGTTTTTAGATATTAAGAATATTACACATGCACACACCCAATCTGATGATTCTCAACTCAACTCAACTCAACTTTATTTATAAAGCGCTTTCAGTCAGCCAAAGCTAAAATCAAAGCGCTGTACAGGTCATTTGAGCAGATTATAAAACACAATTATCACCAAAACACAGGACAAACTCAAAGATAAAAAAAAAAAAAAAAAACCAGTAAGAGCAGAAAAAAAGTCGAAGTCTCACTCAAAGGCCTGAGAGAAAAAGTGGGTCTTTAAAAGGGTTTTAAAAGAGCTGAGTGTAGGGGCCTGTCTGATAGAAAGGGGGAGGGCATTCCACAGTTTGGGAGCTGCCACAGAGAATGCTCGGTCCCCTCTGAGCTTCCACTTTGCTCTAGGTGCTTTTAGAAGGAGCTGATCAGCTGATCTAAGGGACCTAGCAGGGCAGTAATTCTGTAGTAGCTCAGAGAGGTATGGTGGAGCTAGGCCATTTATTGACTTATAAGAAAATAAAAGAATTTTAAAATGAATTCTAAAATGGACAGGGAGCCAATGAAGTGAGGCCAGGATTGGTGTTATGTGTTCCCTCTTCTTTGTCCCAGTTAAAAGTCGTGCTGCAGCGTTCTGTACGCGCTGCATGCGAGAGAGGGTATTGGCGCCAGCAGTCCTTTAAAATTTGATGTGACACCTGCAATTTGTCCTTCTTCCACTTGCGCTCCGCCCTGCGGCAGTCTTGTTTGGCGGCTCTGGTCGTGTCATTAAACCAGGGCTCAGCTTTAGTTCTGGGCTGCCTTGTTTTATATGGTGCTACAGAGTCCAATATGGTTTCGCAGGAGAAGTAAAACCATGAGCTTAGCGCCTCAGTGTCAGAGGGCACATGGTCAGCAGTCAGATCCTGAAACGCAGCCGAAAACTTGCCAGCCGTGAGAGGGTTAAAACTCCGACAGCATCTGCGAGTGGGGGCTTTGACTTCTGGGCCTGGCATGTTGATATCACAAGTCACAGTCATGTGATCCGAAAGTGCAATGTCACTGATCTCCAGGTTTGATACGGCTAACCCATGGGAGAAAACGAGGTCAAGAATGTGTCCATGTTCGTGTGTGGGAGCAGACACTGATTGTAGCAAGTCAAAAGAGTCAACAATGTTTAAAAAATCTTTCACCAAGGGCTTATCGGGGCAGCACACGTGAATATTAAAATCGCCGATGATAAGAACACGATCATATGAAGACATCACGCTTGCTAAAAAATCTGAAAATTCGTCCAAAAAGTCTTTGTTGTATTTTGGGGGCCGGTAAATGACGGCCATCAGAACAGAGTCAGTGCGACCCACCTCGAATATGACTGACTCAAAGCTTGCAAAAGAGAAGGTCAATCGTCTACATTTGTATTTGTCTTTAAACATGACCGCTATGCCCCCACCTCGGCTTTTAGTACGAGGACAATTAAAAACATTGCACCCCGCGGGTAGGAGTTCAGTTAGAGCGCTTGACTCACCATCACGTAGCCATGTTTCCGTAATACACAGGAAGTCCAGACAGCGAGAGTTGAAAAATTCCCGTAGAATAAATGTTTTGTTTGTCATCGATCTTGCATTGACCAATCCGATACGGGAGAAGGACGTAGCCAGA